AGCCTCTTACTAGAGATTTTTATTTTAGCTTTAAAAACAACAAGGGTTTCTTAATACGAGTCTTCAGGAATTTCTTACATCTGTTTCTCACCGCCTGTGTCGTACAGAAGGTCAGCTGTGAGAAATTAGGCACATGTGAAACATCTGGGTATTTTTGCGTCTACGAAGTAAAGATATCCAGATACCGTAAATGTATCTAATTGACCATCTTGTCGGTATTGTGTACCATTGCTAATACAAGGTCAGCTGTGTTGTCTGTCAGTGCGGATGAAGTGTTCCGAGCGTCTTAACTCAGCTGACAGTCACTGTCTTTAAACTACCGAGGCTCGTCCACAAGCTCCAGCCGCCCTCCTCCCAGACCCTGGCTCCAGTTCGAATTCGTTCCGAAGTACGGAGCATGGAAAAACAAACAAACATTCGCCTTGTTTTTGGTTTCCAAGCTCCTTGGTTTAGCTCACGCTACCTGCCAGACAGTGTTGGCCTGGTTCCCTGTGTGACTGTCAGGCCCACATCATTACTCTGTGTTTTCCCCACCACTTCAACAAGGCTGATTTCGTCCCTTGATGAAGGAAACCCGTTCAGTGTGATGGAATATGACGGGGAAATACAGCTAGCTCTTGTTCCCGCCATGCAGCTATCATACAGAGTATGCAGCAACGCACTGTTGGTGCGCCCTGTGTTTAATAAAACTAAATGCAAACTGAGCGGCATTCTATGTTAGCACACGTGGGTCAGGCTTCTGTTAGCACACGAGGGTCAGGCTTCTGTTAGCACACGAGGGCCAGGTTTCTGTTAGCACACGAGGGTCAGGCTTCTGTTAGCACACGAGGGTCAGGCTTCTGATAGCACACGAGGGCCAGGCTTCTGTTAGCACACGAGGGTCAGGCTTTTGATAGCACACGAGGGTCAGGCTTCTGATAGCACACGAGGGCCAGGCTTCTGTTAGCACACGAGGGTCAGGCTTTTGATAGCACACGAGGGTCAGGCTTCTGTTAGCACACGAGGGTCAGGCTTCTGATAACGCTTCACTAAGTCTATTAAATTCACATTCAACAAAATGAACACGAGAATAAAAGAAAAAGAACAACGAAAAGTGAGAGAAAGCGAGAGGAGGATAGTGGTAGGAAAAAGTGTCAATGTATAAAGGAAGAGGAGAAGAAGGAAGAGGTTGGGGGACGAGAAGAGGAAGGGGAGAAAAATAAAGGAATTTGGAGAAATCGATGTCAAGGAACACAGGTGAAAATTAAACTTAAATCCCTTAAATACAACTTCAAATCAATCTCTTAGACGTAAGAAAAATGAACCAGAAACTGGACAAAAAGAGGAAAAATGCATAAAGAAAAATAACAGGAAGATTAACTAGAAAACAGACGGAAAAAAAGAGAAGAATCAACACACAAGACATGGAAGACAACTTTAATGTATGTGCTGGTATCTCCAGGTTACCAAGACGATCACTGGCCAACACTTGTCACCTGCGTCTTAAGACAATTCTCCGTCAAATTTGTCTCAAATTTCCTCAAAATTCATAAATAAACTAATTTTTAGCTATAAAGATTCATTATCATTATTATTATTATTATTATTATTATTATTATATTCGTACTGCTGTTACTACTACTACTACTACTACTACTATTGCTACTACTGATACTCTTACTACTGCTAATAATAATAATAATAATACTATTATTAATAATGAATAATAATATATATGGGAAGATCTAGATCCGAAAGGGTCTTACGGCGCCTAATGTAATGGGATGCAGTGAGGTTTGATCCAAGGAAGAGGAGGGTAACTCCAGTTCCTTGGACATCAGGATTCCTTCAGCAGCATCAAAGGACCTGCCTCATCTCCATAGTTTCTTTCCTCTTAATGTAATATTAAAAGATTACCTTTTGTTATATTATTTGGTTATATTTTGATGATATATCAACCAAATTTAACGTAACTTAACGTAATGTAATTTAATCTAGTTTAACTTAACGTAACCTAACTTAATCTAATTCAACGTAACGTAACGTAATTTAACTTAATGTAATTTAATTTGAATAGATAGAGAAAATAGCTTGAAATCGTATGTGGGCTTCGTACGTTAGTCTTTAGAGGATTTGGTGTCACCTAACAGTAAATAGGTACTTGGGTGTTAGTTTACTTATTCTTGCTGCCCCTGTTCACTTAACAGCCATGGGTACCTGTTAGTCTCCTTGCACCTACTGTCCCCGTCATCTAGCAGTAAACAGGTACCTGTTAGTCTCATTGCGCCTGCTGCCCCTGTTCATGCAGTAGTCAACAGGTACCTGCATTAGTCTCCTCGCACCTGCTGCGTCATACAGCTGGGGTTTGAAATGTGCTGAGGTACGACAACCAGCTAGTTTTTAGTCTGTAAAAATTAAGAATGGAAAAGAATATTCTGAGAAGTGCCAATACCATGAAGACCTGCTGCTGGGGACCGGTGCCGGGACCGGTCCGGGGACCGTCCTGGGGACCGTCCTGGGGAAGGGTTGGCCATGGTGAGAGCTGAAATAACGGAGATTTGTGTGCCTTTGTGTCACACACAGCTACCCACACATCGCATGTGTGTGTGTGTATGTGTGTGTATTCACCTATTTGTGGTTGCAGGGGTCGAGTCACAGCTCCAGGCCCCGCCTCTGCACTGGCTGCTACTGGGCCACTCTTCCTGCGCCATGAGCTTTATCATACCTCTTCTTAAAGCTATGTATGAGTATGTGTGTGTCAACCCTCACACAAGCCTTCCTTGTGGATTTTATCCGATGGTTGGGAAAATAATTAAGCATTTGACGTGTAAATTGAGGCTAAATTAATTACGCCTTTACTCTTAGTAATTTTTCAACAGTGATATATGACACTTCTCGGGTAAACTTTCACATTATATATATTATTATGCATTAACTGCAAGGTTATATTACCCCTTGTATTAATAATAATAATAATAATAATAATAATAATAATACTAATAATAATAATAATAACAGCAATAATAATAATAATAATAATCACAATAACAGCAATAATAATAATAATAATAATAATAATAATAATAATACTAATAATAATAATAATAACAGCAATAATAATAATAATAATAATAAATAATAATAATAATCATAATAACAGCAATAATAATAATAATAATAATAATAATAATAATAATAATAATAATAATAATAATAACAATAATAATAATAATCACAATAATAGCAATAATAATAATAATAATAATAATAATAATAATCACAATAACAGCAATAATAATAATAATAATAATAATAATAATAATAATAATATCACTTCGACCAAAGTCTACTTTGAAGTGGATTAAAATATTTTAATGTTTATAATCATTGTGAGAGGGAGAAACAGTAGACAATATAATACATTAATAAAGTTCCGCCTTGGTTGTATTTTAACAGTTACTGCAGCAAATTACCCAACTAATTCACATAATTATGCTCGGATATGCAAATGTACCAATTGCTTTTAATTGTGTGGTGATAATATTGTATTAGTAGTGTGTGTGTGTGCAGGGAACACGAAGAGGCGGGACCAGGAGCTATGAATCGACCCTTGCAATCACAATTAGGTGAGTACATAAAATACCCTTTCTGGTTTATGTGAATGATGTTCTCTGGATGAGATTATGTCTGATTTAACCCTGATGCTGATGACGTAAAACCGAAGAGTAGGATGTAAACCCACGAGGGAATGACTCCTAATGGATCTGGACAGTCTGAAAGACTGGTCAGATAAGTGGTTGTTTGAATTCAACCCCAGCAAATACAAGGTTATGAAGTTTGTAATAAAGTTGGTAGAATTACCGACAATATGTAAAGTAATGGCTTGATAAAGTAATGGCTTGATAAAGCTCCTGGAGAGCGAAACGTTGCCACAATAAAATGTCACATTAGTTGCACTTGTGTCCTTTTACTTTACAAGGTTATGAAGATCGGGGAAAAGGCCAGAACACAGGAAACGAAATATAGTTTCGAGAGAGAGGCTGCAGACCACACTCAAACAGATAGGTCCAAGGGTGAGCATAGCGCCTAGCATATTCCCAAAGACTTCCGTCAACTACTTAACCTCCAGCAGTTAATACTCTTCTGAAAAAATAAAGACTAGGCTTCAAGAATCTTAACAGTCATTCCAGGCCCTTTGTAAGACACATGTAAGGCTCATGAATATCAAATGGTATACAACCGACAGGTTGGTAGATAAGACACATAGGCAACATGTAAGGCTCATCCTGGAGTACGCAGCACCAGTACGGAACCCCACACCAGAGGAAGCATGTTAGGAAACTGGACCAAATGCAAAAGTGTGCAACGAGACTAGTCCCAGAGCTAAGAGAGGCTGACGGAACTGGAGGATAAAATAGCCAGGGGAGACATGATAACAACATGCAAAATACTCAAAGGAACCGATAGGATAGACAAAAATAGGCTGCCTCAGAGGCGGGAAACAGCTACTCGGGGGCACAACTGGAAGGCAAAAGTGAGTCAGAGATGTCAGGAAGTATTTTTTCAATCTCAGGGTGATCGAGAAGTGAAATGTCTTACAGAAGTGGAAGTGAAGACAGACTTCATACATAGATTTAAGAGAAGGTACGATAGAGCCCACGAGGCTAGGAGGGAATGGATGGATGTGGTAAGTGGCAAGTGGAAAGGCGGGGCCAGGAGCTAAGGTTCAACCCCAGAACCACATATAGGTGAGTACACACACACACACAAACTCGGGATGTTAATGGCGGAGTTAGTTCAGAATCTGTCTCTTCCATCGCGAGTTTGAGAGAGAGAGAGAGAGAGAGAGAGAGAGAGAGAGAGAGAGAGAGAGAGAGAGAGAGAGGAAAGTATTTAACATGCAGTTAAAAGGTGTGTATGGGTGCCACAGCATGAGCCTCTGCCCTTTCATGACAGTGCCAACAAAATGCCACCAGGATGCCACTAAGATGCCACTGAGGTGCCAGTAGAGTTCCACTCACCTAAAACGAAGCCATCCTTGGTCCACTGTGCACGTCCCTGCTGGTTCTCCACCACACACCTCAACATAACATCGTTACCCTCTCTCACTCTCACACTCCCTGGCCGCTCGCGGAACACCTGTACCACCTCAACACCTGTAATATATATATCAATGTCATTAACACCTGTTGCACCTGCAATATATATTAATCTTGTAATATGTGAGTATTATCAACACCTGTTATGCCTGCTACACCTGTAACACCTGTTACACATGCTTGTTATTAATACTTGAAGTCACATATAATACACTTGTAATGCTTAAAGTGATTATTATAACACCTGTAATATTTGTGATTTCAAAACATTTCACTTGTAATACACTGTGCTTGATATTAACACCTGCTACACCTGTTGCTAGTCGTGTAAACATTGGTTAAAATGGTCAGTAACGCATCTGTAAAGTAAGGATCTATAAACAGCTGTAAAACAGTGGTCCAAACATGTGTTAAATTATGGTCTAAACATATGTAAAACAATTATTTTCACATCTGTAAAGTAATGATCTAAATATCTGCAACGCAGTGATCTGAACATCTGTAACAATGATCTAAACATTTGTAATTCATCGACATAAAGCATCTGTGATTAACGGCGTGAAAACGTCTGTAATTCAACAGTCGTAACCAGACAGATGTATTCCGGTCGCTGCTCGATCCGAGAAAGTTATCCCCGGTTACCTTAAGCCCAGCCTTCTCTACCTCAATGCGTGTCAAAGGAACAGTGCAGTGTGTAGCGAAGGTTTGAAACCTGTCAGAAGAGGCATTGGCAAGTTATCACATGGGCACTAATATCCTAATTTTTATTTTACAGGTAGAGAGAACACGATGCAGAACACACTATAGAGAACAGCCTGGCAAGAAATGTACGACATAGACAGAGAACACAATGTAGACAACACAATTCGGACAGAGCACAATACAGAGGGAACACAATACAGGTAGACAAAACACGGTACAGACAGGACACAATAGACACAGAACACAGTAAAGAAAGAACACAGTGCAGACAGAACACAGTATAGACAGAGCACAGTATAGACAGAACACAGTACAGACAGAACACAACACAGGACACAGCAGAGGAAGACAGCCGGGGGAAATATCAGAGATTCTCACCGGCAGAGCACGTGTTAATGAACACTGTAATTAACTTACAAGTCAGAGATGCAGCCAGGTGACTCAGACACCTGTGTCAGGTGATCATCTCTCTCCCTTGTCACCTAAACAGGTGGCGAGGCACCACCTGGCACCAATACAGGTGGCGAGGTAGGCACCTTACTCCAAAAAAAAGATGGTTAGGATAGTACCATCTGAAGATCTTTAAATTATTTTAGATATACCAAGTTCAAAATTTTTTTTTGCTTTGCACTAATCTATGATGGATATTGTAAATTCCTTCAATAATTATAGGTCCCAGTAATTATCCACTTGCATGTTATACTTGTATAATCAATCGAGTAATTATATGATGATGTTAATGAGGCCAGCTAGGGCATTTGGCGCCTTTAATAAGGATAGCAATTTGGCCCCAAGTGGTAAGTAGGGCATTTATGGTGTTAATTCAGCAGTACTGCCACCTGGAGCACCACTGGTGGAGCACCAGTGGTGCGCCACTAGTGAATCATCACTGGTGGAGCACCACTGGAGCACTAGTGGAGTACCACTGGAGCACTAGTGGAGCACCACTGTTGCAGCACTAGTGGAGTGCCACTGGTGGAGCACCACTGGTGGAGTCTCACTGGTGGAGCACCACTGATGGAGCATCACTGGTGGAGCCCCACTGGTGGAACACTAGTGGAGCACCACTTGTGGAGCATAACTGGTGGAGCATTACTGATGGAGCACCACTAGTGGAGCACCACTGGTGGAACATGACTGGTGGAGCATGACTGGTGGAGCACCACTGGAGCACTAGTGGAGCACCACTGGAGCACTAGTGGAGCACCACTGGTGGAGCCTCACTGGTGGAGCACCATTGATGGAGCATCACTGGTGGAGCCCCACTAGTGGAACACTAGTGGAGCACCAATGGTGGAGCATAACTGGTGGAGCATTACTGGTGGAGCATCACTAGTGGAGCACCACTGGTGGAACATGACTGGTGGAGCATGACTGGTGGAGCACCACTAGTGGAGCACCACTGGTGGAGCATCACTGGTGGAGCACCACTGGTTGAGCATGACTGGTGGAGCACCACTAGTGGAGCACCACTGGTGGAGCACCACTAGTGGAGGATTATTAGAGGACCACCAAGGTAGCACCACCAGTGTAGCATTAACAGTATAGAACCGCCAGTGTAGCACCACCAGTGTAGCACCACCAGTGTAGCACCGCCAGTGTAGCACCGCCAGTGTAGCATCACCAGTGTAGCACCGCCAGTGTAGCACCACCATCACTATCACGTCAGTGAATTAAAGAGCAAAACACTCACCCCCATATATGTATATATATATATATATATATATATATATATATATATATATATATATATATATATATATATATTTATTTATGTCGTGTCGAATAGGTAAAATATGTCAATTAGCAAGAACTCATTTAAAATTAAATCCTTTCTAAAATTTTCTCTCATACGTTTAAAGATACGTATATTTTTTCATTTATGTTAATATAAAAATTAATAATTTTGTACCAAAAGAACCTTAGAAAACTTACCTAACCTTATTATAACAAGCACAGTTTAATTTAGCCTAATCTAACTAAATATATTTTAGATAAGTTTACAATAATCTAATAATAAACAAACGCAATGAAATATATTTTTTTTCTTTAGGTTCAGAATGAATTTTTACGAAATTACTGCATACACAAATTTTCGCATGTCTTATTCGGCAAGAAGAGCGTTGCTATTTAAGCCAAAATAGCAAGTTATACCTATTCGGCACGACATATATAATATCTGTTTGGATGAGTTAGGCCAAAGTTCAGATGTTTGTTGTCTAATTATTTCTCTGTAATATTTTTCGTCCGCAGCTAATTTTTGGTCCACCGCAAAACACATTTTACCCATTTTTTTACGATTCTGACATTGTTAATTATTTCCCACCAGTCTTGGTCCGTGACGGATGACGGGTGGGGGACGTTTCTCTCAGGGGACGGAGCCCCCTCTTACGTCTCGCTTGCCTGTCCTCAACACCACCAGAAAAAAAAGACACATCAAAAAGCCAAATTAAGAAAAGGAGAATAAATTTCTAAGGGTGAATACATTATTCTGCTTCTGTCGCCTCGGTAAAAGACACAATAAATCCATCTTGGATTTTTTTCCTTCTGAAATGTCAGCTGAAAGTCGGTTTGGAAAATACAAGGCTCACCTATTTTTATTTTATTTAATTGACTCCCGTGTGTACGCATGCAAGACCTGACGAGCGAAACGTGTGAGAAGTGACGAGCAAAACGTGTGAGCCTTGAGTGATAAAAAACTGTGCGGAACTGAAAGAATTTCCTGAGATGGAATTGAGTGTTTGTCGAACTGACGACTTAACGTAGAGTGACGCTGTGGTAGCTGAGGATCCTGAGACCTGTCAAGTAGACCACGAGGAGAGACCTGTCAAGAAGACCACGAGGAGAGACCTGTCAAGTAGACCACGAGGAGAGACCTGTCAAGTAGACCACGCGGAGAGACCTGTCAGGAAGACCACGAGGAGAGACCTGTCAAGTAGACCACGAGGAGAGACCTGTCAAGTAGACCACGAGGAGAGACCTGTCAAGTAGACCACGAGGAGAGACCTGTCAAGTAGACCACGCGGAGAGACCTGTCAGGAAGACCACGAGGAGAGACCTGTCAAGCAGACCATGAGGAGAGACCTGTCAAGAAGACCACGAGGAGAGACCTGTCAAGAAGACCACGAGGAGAGACCTATCAAGAAGACCACGAGGAGAGACCCGTCAAGAAGACCACGAGGAGAGACCTGTCAAGTAGACCACGCGGAGAGACCTGTCAAGAAGACCACGAGGAGAGACCTGTCAAGTAGACCACGAGGAGAGACCTGTCAAGTAGACCACGAGGAGAGACCCGTCAAGTAGACCACGAGGAGAGACCCGTCAAGTAGACCACGAGGAGAGACCCGTCAAGTAGACCACGAGGAGAGACCCGTCAAGTAGACCACGAGGAGAGACTGTCAAGTAGACCACGAGGAGAGACCTGTCAAGTAGACCACGAGGAGAGACCTGTCAAGTAGACCACGAGGAGAGACCTGTCAAGTAGACCACGAGGAGAGACCCGTCAAGTAGACCACGAGGAGAGACCTGTCAAGTAGACCACGAGGAGAGACCTGTCAAGTAGACCACGAGGAGAGACCTGTCAAGTAGACCACGAGGAGAGACCTGTCAAGTAGACCACGAGGAGAGACCCGTCAAGTAGACCACGAGGAGAGACCCGTCAAGTAGACCATGAGGAGAGACCCGTCAAGTAGACCACGAGGAGAGACCTGTCAAGTAGACCACGAGGAGAGACCTGTCAAGTAGACCACGAGGAGAGACCTGTCAAGTAGACCACGAGGAGAGACCTGTCAAGTAGACCACGAGGAGAGACCCGTCAAGTAGACCACGAGGAGAGACCCGTCAAGTAGACCATGAGGAGAGACCTGTCAAGTAGACCACGAGGAGAGACCTGTCAAGTAGACCACGAGGAGAGACCTGTCAAGTAGACCACGAGGAGAGACCTGTCAAGTAGACCACGAGGAGAGACCAGTCAAGTAGACCACGAGGAGAGACCTGTCAAGTAGACCACGAGGAGGGACCTGTCAAGTAGACCACGAGGAGAGACCTGTCAAGTAGACCACGAGGAGAGACCTGTCAAGTAGACCACGAGAAGAGACCTGTAAAGTAGACCACGAAGAGAGACCTGTCAAGTAGACCACGAGGAGAGACCTGTCAAGTAGACCACGAGGAGAGACCTGTCAAGTAGACCACGCGGAGAGACCTGTCAGGAAGACCACGAGGAGAGACCTGTCAAGCAGACCATGAGGAGAGACCTGTCAAGAAGACCACGAGGAGAGACCTGTCAAGAAGACCACGAGGAGAGACCTATCAAGAAGACCACGAGGAGAGACCCGTCAAGAAGACCACGAGG